AATAACTAAGTTGAAAACCACTTTTGATCACCACCGTTTATCATTCCACTTGAGACAGGAAACAGGAGTCAAAAGGGCCTTTGGTCAATGCCTGGAATTGTTAGTCCTGCAGGTTCAGAGGTATCTCTGACCAACTTTGCTTGTTTTCCATTTCCCCAAACAGAAAAGAGAAGGAAGAACAAAGTGTGAAGGTTCGTTTGTGTGGGCTTCCCTGTCTTCTAATAAAGTACCGTCAGGCTGTTTATCAAACAACTTATTGTCTTTTATTAATTCACCCAACGGGGATTCAACCATAACACGTTTTCTTACACAACTCTCTTGTTCGAGCAACGGCTCTCGCAAGGGCAGCAAAATACTTTCTTCCATCATGTTAAATGGATTAAGATCCCATGGACCAGCGAGGACTTGACCCTGTCCCACAGTCCCCAGTTCAGGATCCATTTGACTCAAAAGCGGGAGGGTCTCTTCATCTCCCATCCATCCCCAGGACGGGTCCCCTTCTCTGGGCGAGTTCCCCCAAGGTCCAGGAAACATCCCATCTTTCTCAATTCTTTGAGACGCCATGCCCGGCGAGCCTCAGTCTCTCTAGCAATGGCTTCTTTCTCCTCCCTTAATCTTCCTTCTCCATTCTCGAGTCTCCAACTTATCCCAATAAGATGGTCATTGGGGTAAGCCTCTCTTCCTTCGTTTCTCCGCTTCAGCTTTGGGTACCCGGACTTGTTCCCATTTTCCAGTCCATGGGTCCTGCATCCAGACCCATTCCCAACCCCCGGGGATATTGTCTCGGGTTGTATTTATCTCTCCCAGCCCCCCTTCTTCCACCACCCCCTGAGCCTCCCCTTTTCCCACCGATTCTTCCTGAGAAGGGCTAGATACTCTTAACCCTTTCAATCCTTCTTCCAGATCTTGGGTGTCCACAGCCCGCGATACCCCTTTTCCCTGCAGATTCTCTTCCTCTAAATCACGTGTATCTGAGCCTTTCTCTCTCTTAAGGCTCGGGGTAGATGGTGGACTAGTTTGGGTTTGTTTGGATGTCTTTACAAGAGACGGCTCTGCTAGAAAGACCTGGAACCTCTGGTCTTTCCCTTCACACAAAGTATTACAGGTCCCTTTGTGGGTAGGGGGCTTTCAGGGAAGTTCCCCATTCTGCTCTACAGTGATATGATCCAATTCGGGAAGGAAAGGGAACAGCGGTTACCAAGTCCCTTCATAGAGGTTACCAAGTCCCACCACCACCACTTTTTTCTTATTGTCCTTCCATCTCTCTCCATTACTTCTCCATTATTCAGTGGAAAGTAGATACAAGTACTATGACATACTTCTCCCAGGTTCAGGGAAGTAAGTGGGATTTAAATGCTGTCTGCAATGAGAGCATTTGTAACTTATTAACTAGCAACACCACCACTTAATCACATTACAGGGGAACTGTGACTGTCTTCTTTAAACCTTGGTCGCAATACAAATGTAAACAGCTTCTTGGAAAGGAATGCAAGTTCATCAAGAAACTAAGAGAGGTATGAAATATTTTTATTGCATGCTTCCTCCTAGGAGCTCAACATGGCTGCAAGGTTCTGCCTCACCCACCGTATCCTTCCAACAATCCTGCAAAGTATTTTCAGCTGAAAAAGTAAGTGAGGTTTGTGATCAAATGGAGACTAGAATACAGATCCTGTATGCCTTGTCATTCTAAGCACAATAGCCGCCCCCCCCCCCACACACACAACCTTAAGGTTTTTGGAAGCCAAGAATTGTGAGACACCTCACAATAGTCTAACGAAATCAGATTTCTGCCGCACAAAAGCTAATGCCACAAGGGAATGAATGAGCAAGACATGGCTCCCCTGCTACAGTCAAGGGTAATCCACAAGTAAAGCACTTGCCAAAATGTCAAGAAGGCCGGCCCTACCACCATACCCAGCTAGGACTTGAGGTGCACCAGTCTCCCACTTGCATATGTAAACACAGTAAGCCAAGTTAGAGCAGTGGTAGCCACACACACACACAAGCACCAGCCAAAGAAACACACACACAAATCAGACAAGAGCAGGCGGGGGGAAAGCACTTCTGCTTATCAAGAGACAATACTGTACTGTGTTTCAGCTACGGCAGTGCTATAGCAGGCACTATTAAATTCTTAAGGCCCATGAAGCAGAAACTTCATATTATAGTACATATTTGTATACATAGTATGGAAAAAGACCCATACTGTTCACTTTTCCAAGGGCTGAACATTTCTCAACTGCTTTTGAGAAAGCACAAAACCACACACTTTACTCTTGGGAAAGTGGTGATGGAGAAGAGACTAGCACTTGCTATGTTTTATTTGCACACATTTTAAGAAACAGATCCATGTACCCAAGATTTTAGAAACACAGGAAGCCTCTTCCCTACACTGGTAGGCCCTCAAAATGATACAAAGCTAATAAGATCATCAACAGAGAAGTGTTCTGGTCAGACTCGCATAAGTGCATGTTTACTCAGTGGCTGAAATCCTGTTGTTTAACTTTACACTGTGAGAGGCTGATGACATCATCAGCCCTGGCAGGGTTTTTTGTAAATAAAACATTTTTGCTTATCTCCTCCAAAGGTTCCAAGGATCCCATTTTTAATGGGGACACAGTTGGAAGCCACATGATAGTGTGGGAAATCTTTAATTTCTGATAATCGTTGCAGTTAGTAGAATCAGCCTGGTGGTGGCAATTTCCTGTAATTAAAGGCTTCCCACTCCTGTTCCACAGCCCCCAAAGGCTTCCTGATGACAAAGGAAATCCCACAGGAAACTCAAGACCTTCAGAGGAGAAATCAGAAATGTTTTATTTTTTTAAAAAAAAATAGCTGCTGCTCATGACATCATCAGCATAAAGTGGCACAACTGGATTTCAGTAAGTTACAAGCAGGACAAAGTAACTTCTAGTAAATTACAAAGATGTATTGGTCTCAGCATGGTGGACTTCTACACCTCGTGTGATTGTTCACTGCCACAAAATAATTCCTAAAGGACTCTGGATTCTTGCATTTTGAGGTGTGCATTCACTATCACATTAACAAAAACCACAACACCTGCAGCAGCACCTCCCAAGACACATAACATGCTGCTTTGGGGAAGTTTTCTTCTCATACCAGACTCACAGGACAACACTAAGACTAAAATGCAAGTTGGAGAATACAAATAGGGAAATACTGTCCAAACCCAGTAACTACAATCTGACCCAACAACCCCTTCTACTGTAAAAATGCCTCAATTAACAGAAGCAGGAAGGAGGATGTGCTAGAGGGAGGGTAATGCAATGGTTCATTTTTCCCCCTGCTGCAATGAGGAAAAGAGGGTGTTTTCCGGTGCACACCATGTACAGAGTTATTCAGGCATAATGAACAATGCAATCACAGCTCCCCTGATGCTATGAGGAAAAGAGGGTGTTTTCTGGTGCACACCATGTACAGAGTTCTTCAGGCATAATGAACAATGCAATCACAGCGGGGGGGAAAGACCAACCTGTTCCTCTGAGGACTGGTGCCCATGTTTATTAATCTATAGATCCAATCTATCATGCCACACAAAATACGTTGGCCTGTTTAAAACCCACCACCCTAGGCTGCATTTCAAGCTACTTTATCAGTGTGCTGCTGAGTTTGGATTCAGTCATATCCATAGTAGAGGAGGCCTACCTGTCACAACCGCAACAGGAACACTGGTGGCATAGCTGCAGCAAATGCTCCAAGTATAAATGCCATACAGGTGCACAATGTTAAGCACAAGACAGTACTTACATTTACCAATCTTGCCCCAATCAGGTTTGCCACTCTGATGGAACTGTGATCACAACAAGTTCTTTTAAAACCACAGAGAGCAGCATATATGGCAGATAATTAATTAATCAATTAATCCTCTTCCAGATCAATTAATTCTGACCAAATAGGGTCACTTCTGTCCTCATATCCACAAACTTGAACTAAAACTATATTTTCAAACCCTGTTGCCATATAATACAGACAATTACATTTGCATACTCAGTGCTAAGACCCCAACCAACTGCCATTCGCTCCTTTTGTAATCATAGACTAGAACCTTTGCTTCTCCCACAAAACTATATTTACATAGAAGGGATCTTTTTCTCTTTTTTGTTATTTAGTCATGCCAGTTTGTGAGTACAACAAAATTAAGGGAAACTAGTGCAAGTCAAGCAATTTGGAGTAAGTGTTCCAATATGCTCCAAAAAAAAATGATGAAAATAAATGCTGAAAGCATGCTCAAAGAAAGGCTAGTGAAAAGGGATATTCCTTTAGCACTCTGTTAAATGTTAACAGACGTGTCCAGAGACCATTTCCAGAACTGACCCTACAATTTTACGAATATTTAACGTTCCACTCGGTTCAACAGGATTTGCTCCTCAGGACATGCACACAAGACTGAAGACTAAACTCACATTCTCACGTTACATTCAGTAATTTCACAGCGAGAAAGGCATGGCATGGGCTGGAACATATGGTTTTCTTCCATTGTTCTCTCACTAACGGCATTCACACGCGTGCAGACCCTTAATCGGAGTTCATGCCAGACGCACCCTAACACCGCACAGTAAGCATTTCTGCGGATGAAGAGTTTCAAGGCAAAGAACACGAATCAGACGCCGGAAAAGCCATGCTCGTTTTTCCTTCTTTCCTTTTTTTTTAATTAAAGGAAAAGGAGCGAGTTTGCTATTCTCTTAGGAGCCGGCTGGGGGGGGGGGAATAAAACGGGGCAGGTAGGATTTCTGCTCTAAGGAGAGGGAGTGTTTACACGAGGGAAGGGGTGGGGCT